AAAATCAGCTGGATTTCTCTACTGTGACAAAGTGAATACAGAGCTGGAGCTAAGAAAAACAATACCCTTCACAACAGCTAATCACAAGATTAAATACTTGGGAGTAAATCTAACCAAAAGCACAAAGGATTTATTCAAAGAAAATTACAAAACAATACTACAAGAAACAAAGAGAGACCTGTAGAAATGGAAGAATATCCCTTGTTCATGGATAGAAAGACTCAATATTGTGAAAATGACAATACTACCAAGGGCAATCTACATGTTCAGTGCAATTCCAATACAAATACCAATTCCGTTCTTCAACAAGATGGAAAAGGCAATCTCCAATTTAATTTGGAATGGAAAGAGGCCCTCAATAAGCAAAGCACTCTTTAAAAAGAAAAATAAGGTAGGAGGCATCTCACTCCCTGATTTCAAATCCTACTACACTGCTGTGGTGATCAATACAGCATGGTACTGGTACAATGACAGACATAGATCAATGGAATAGAATTGAGAGCCTGGAAATCAGCCAATCTACCTATGGTCAACTGATTTTTCACAAGGAGATGGGAAATGACAGCCTTTTTAACAAATGCTGCTGGCAAAATTGGAAAACTATCTGTAGAAAACTCAAGCGAGATCCACACCTTATTCCATACACAAACAGCAACTCAAAGTGGATCAAGGACCTAGGACTAAAACCAAGGACTATAAATTTCATTAGAGCAAAACTTGGAAGAACTCTAGAAGTCCTAATCCACAACATGAACAATCTTCCAAGCATCCTGGAAAGCCTATACCAGGAGATGATAAAATATATTATAAGAATGTCCCCTGTGCACATTAAAAAACTTCTCCAACAGGGTAAAAAGGGAAGCCACAGACTGGGAAATAATATTTGGTAATGACATGTCTGATAAGGGACTTACATCTAGAATTTATAAATTACTTGAACACCACAGCAAGATAAAGGCAAACAACCCAATTTCAAAATGGGCAAATGATATGAACAAACACTACACCAAAGAAGACATTCAGATTGCAAACAAACACATGAAGAAATGTTCAAAATCCCCTGCTATAAGAGAGATGTAAATCAAAACAACAGTCAGATATTATCTCACTCCAGTAAGAATAGTAACATTCAGCAAATAAAAAATGCTGGTGTGGTTTTGGAGAAACTGGAACCCTTATTCACTGTTGGTGGGAGTGTAAAATGGTGCAACCCCTATGGAAGGCTGTATGGCGCTTTCTCAAGAAGGTGGAAATATAATTACCATTTAACCCAGAAATTCTACTGCTGGGAATACTTCCTAAAGAAACTAGAACTGCCTCCCAAGCAGATATATGCACACCCATGTTTATTGCAGCTTTGTTCACAATAGCGAAGAGTGATAAACAACCCAAGTGCCTATCAACAAATGAATGGATGGAGAAGCTGTGGTATATTCACACAATGGAATACTATGCTACATTAAAAAACAAGGAATATATGAGCTGTTATACAAAATGGGTGACCCTAGAGGACATTATGCTGAATGAAATATCTTAGTTAAAAAATAACAAATACTGTACAATGTCACTGTTGTAAAGCGGAACTGACATCAGGGTTGGGGGGGG